CATCAGGCCATGTTCTGGGTCTTAGGAATAATACAAGAGGGGACACCCCCCACCCGGAAAAAACAAGATTGAATTATATTTTGGAGGGCAGGCCCCTTGTAGTACACTCAGCATTTGTTTCTCCAGATCAAATGTCAACCCAAGTTTTTAACTTGAAGTTTTGAGAAGGTTGTGTCACGTTTTGTGAAGAATGTTCCAAGTTGTGGCAAAAAGGTGACTGGTTCTTCCACCATGACAACGTACCTGCCCACACCACACTGTGTGTTTAGCAGTTTTTGACCAAGATCAGCATGACCTCCATGCTTGTACATCTGATTGCGCCCCCAAGCAACTTTTTGTTTGTTTCCTCGAAGAAAAAAATCCTTAAAGGGAAATGTTTGCCAATGTAGAAGAAGTGAAACAAAAAAATAGCAGAAGCACTAAAAGACATCAAAGTTGATGAGTTCAAAACTGTTTTGAGCAGTAGAAAAAGCAGATGTATTGCAACAAATGGAGAGCACTTTGAAGGTAACTGAAGGTTAAACATAGAAGAGTAAATACACATCTTTTTTTTAGTTGGAGTCTCACTCTGTTGCCCAGGCTAGAGTGCAGTGGCCCACTCACGGCCACTTCGCCTCAGCCTTGCTGAGTGTCAAGCTGCTGGGCTCTGGCAATCCTTTCGTCTCAACCTTCCAAGTAGCAGGAACTACAGGCACGCGCTACCACACCGGCTAATTTTTGATTTATTGTAGAGATGAGGTCTTCAAGTTGCCCAGGCTGGTCTTGAACCTGTGGGCTCAGGCAATCCACCTGCCTCGGCCTCCCAAAGTGCTGGGATTGCAGGCTGAGCCACCGAGCCCAGCCTAATACACAATTTTTTACAAATAAATTTTGGCTTTTTTAGGGTCCCCCCTCATAAAAGGAAAGATGAAATGATAAGTAAGGCAAGTGAGTCAAGCCAGCTCTGCCCCACTGCTACCAGGCCTTTGGGAAAACCACCCCTTCTCGAAACACTTGGTTGCCTTCTGCTGGAAAGCTGTGGACACTATACAGCTCCCTGATATCTGTAAGATGAATGGTGCCTGGCATTGTGCAGGCCACAAGTCACACAGCCAGAGGCACTGGCCCTTGTGGAAGCACCTGGGAGAAGGAGAAACCAGGCACTGGGCTGCTGGGAGCCACTTGGGAGTCTTGGGAAGGAAGGGGTTTGCAAGTGGGAGGGCTGGGTCAGTTGCCCTTTGGGATCTCTTTCCACTCTGAGATGATGCAAATATTTCCTGGGTTCTTTCACATGCAAGAGAGAACAAGCCAGCAACCTATCATAGAAGGACAAGGTCTTAGCAGCACACCCTACCCTCCCTTGTCAAGGAGAAGGCAGGTGGCAACCAGGTATCTTGAGAAAGGAGTAATTTGCCCAAAGACCTGGCGGCAGTGATGCAGAGCTGGTCTGACTCACTTGACTTACCAGTGAGTAGATCAGAAATAATACTGTAGCCGAGGGTTTTGACAATTAAAATTCCTCACTACGAGCCGGACTCGGTGGCTCAACCTGTAATCCTGCGCCTTTGGGAGGCTGAGGCAGGTGGATTGCCTGAGCCCGCACGTTCGAGACCTGCCTGGGCAGCGAGACCTCATCTCTACGATAAAATTTTTTAAAAATCAGCCGGGTGTGGTAGCGCGCGCCTGTAATTCCGGATACTCGGAAGGCTGAGGCGGAAGGATTGCCGGAGCCCAGCAGGTCGAGGCTGCGGTGG